TTTTTGAAGAGAACATTGATAGACACAGTTACTTATCGTTGCTAAGAGATCACTTACCAGGCTTATTAGAAGATGTTGACTTAGCAACAAGAACAAGAATGTGGCTTCAACAAGATGGTGCTGCACCGCATTATGCACTCATTGTACGTGCCTTTTTAAATGCCAGTTACAATGACAGATGGATTGGACGAAAGGGTCCAGTTGAATGGCCTTCTTGCTCACCAGATCTGACGTGAGAGGCAAGGGGACATACAATAATCAAGCACCCCGACGTGAGAGGCAAGGGGACTCACGATAATCAAGCACCCCGACGTGAGAGGCAAGGGGACTCACGATAATTAAGCACCCCGACGTGAGAGGCAAGAAAACATACAATAATCAAGCACCCCAACGTGAGAGGCAAGGGGACTCACGATAATCAAGCACCCCGACGTGAGAGGCAAGGGGACTCACGATAATCAGGCACCCCGACGTGAGAGGCAAGGGGACTCACAATAATCAAGCACCCCGACGTGAGAAGCAAGGGGACTCGCAATAATCAAGCATCCTAAAGGAAACAGAACTTACTACATCCACGTCGTTGTTTCCGGGTAACGCTAAAAGTAAGATGAAAGTGCTTTTGACCTTGATATGACCTTCAAAAGGTCAGGTCAAAAAACTAAAAAATCCTTATGCTCATGTAAAAAGTGCCATTGTTTAAGAGTCCATTGTCAAGAAACGGATTCTGTGGTCAAAAATAGGGTTTACTAATAAAAAAATGCGTTATAAACCTCAAACAACCTTGAAAATTGACCTCAAGGTCAAGCTAGTCAAAGTGATTTACACTTCATTGACTTTGTTTAAGCATTATGCACATTTGTGTTACCCAGAAAACCACGTCATTTCAGAAAAAGTACACCAGATCGTTTTTCAGGCATTTCACCTTTATTTTTGACCTTTCCAAGGTCGCAAAAACAATTTTTTTATAAGACAAGTTTGATGTAAAATTTTCCGCTCTTTTAAAATTCGCAGTCAAAAATAGGGTGTCCCATTTAAAAAACCATCGTGACCTTGAAATAACCTTCAAAATTGACCTCAAGGTCAAAATCAATGGTACAATTGAATGACCCTCTCTGTCCTGGTCAACTTTTATCTAAACCATTTTTTCGTAGATACCGTAATTTGGAAGATATTCGGGTCCATAGATTAAAATGACTCACCCTGTATATTCTTGTAGCTTATCTTGATAGCTTTCCAAAACTTTATAATAAGTATTTTTTCATGGAGTACTCTTTGAGTTATAAAGGTTCAATGAAGCAATTTTTTGACAAAATGTAAAATATCTTGTAAAATATTACATTTTCGGTAATCATACCTTTTTGCACGGAAAGATGAGACCAACGAATTAGTGTAAAAAAAACACATAGTTGCTTATAAAAAAAAGTATGCAGCTGCATATTGAATATTAAATTTTTTTAAAAGAATTATCTGTTTTCCTTACACGATATTTTACATTTCAAACGATAATTCAAATTACATTTCAAATATTCACGATATTCTTCATGTCAAAAATTGTTAACTTTAAACGTTTATAACTCAAAGAGTACTCCATGAAAAAATACTTTATTATAGGGTATTGGAAAGCTATCAAGATAAGCTACATAAATTTTTATATAATAAAAAATAGGGGATTCCATTAAAAAAATTCAAAGTGACTTTCATGTGACTTACAAACGACTATCCAATGTCAAACCAATGACACCATCTTATGTCACCCTCGAAGTTAAATAACTTTTGTTCGAATCATTTTTTCGTATCTCTAATATTTTTAGAAATATTTGTCTGACAATGAGACGATTAAAATGGAACACCCTGTATATATTTATATGTATGTATGTGATTTATATAAAGTAACCGAATAAATTATTTGTGAAATTTGCAGACATGAAAAAATAGTTTATATCGACATATTCAGTACAAAGGGGACATCATATAGTAATAAACGATTATTTGATGAGTAGAAACATTGAGGGCAAAGTCAACTTCATTTTTTAAAATAGAATGCTATATTTTTTATTTTATAGGCTTTTTAAATACAAGTTTATTGATATTACATACAGATATTCAAGGTTATAAATACATAGTAAAATAAAAGTCAAATATTTGACTTGTATTCCAATTGTAATAAAAATTTGAAGTATTGACCTTGGACTTGACGACACGGATAAATTTTATGTGTCAAATGATGTACTGCTTCTCTTACTTCTAATAAAATATTTTTAAGTGTTGCAGTTATTCGAGCAATCATATGTATAATATAATTATTATGAGTTCTTTTATAGTCATTCAGAATACACAATGCTTTTCATATATTCCCATAATAAATATAATTTATCAGATTGGACTCAGGTCATTAGATTACATTCTCCTAAATTATTTTTTATAGAGCAATATAAAAAACATGTGTATTCAAAACTATGTACAATTCGTAATAATGATACATGATTGCTCGAATAACAGCAACACTTAAAAATATTTTATTAGAAGTAAGAGAAGCAGTACATCATTTGACACATAAAATTTATCCGTGTTGTCAAGTCCAAGGTCAATACTTCAAATTTTTATTACAATTGGAATACAAGTCAAACATTTGACTTTTATTTTACTATGTATTTATGACCTTGAATATCTGTATGTAATATCAATAAACTTGTATTTAAAAAGCCTATAAAATAAAAAATATAGCATTCCATTTTAAAAAATGAAGTTGACTTTGTAATGCCCTCAATGTTTCTACTCGTCAAATAATCATTTATTACTATATGATGTCCCCTTTTGTACTAAATATGTCGATATAAACTATTTTTTCATGTCTTCAAATTTCAAAAATAATTAAGTTATTTATATATATATACAGGGTAGGCCATTTTAATCTTCGCACTAAAATTTCTCAAAATTCAAAAGTTTAAGACAAAAATGTTTCAGATAAAAGTTGTATGGTTTCAAAGGGGACATGAGATGGTGTCATTGATTTGACCTTGAATAGCCATTTGAAGGTTACGTGACGGTCAACTTCAATTTCTTAAATAGAACACTATATTTTTTCTTGCATACTTTTATAGCTGACTTCAAGATCTTTCCAAAACGCTACAATAAAATATTTTTTCATTAAGTATTTTTCGAGTTATTAGGCTGCAAATTTGCAGTATTTTGACATAAAATACAAAATATCTTGGGAAATATTCATTTTTCGATTATCATACCTTATTTTATGCACAGAATAATGAGATGAATCAGTTGGTGTAAAGAAAACACATATTTACCTTTAAAAAAAATATGCAATAAGAAAATTGCAATAAGCAGTTAGATAATTTTTCTTATGTGTTTTCTTTACACCAATTGATTCGTCTCATTATTCTGTGCATAAAAGTATTAAGGTATGATAATCGAAAAATGAATATTTCCCAAGATATTTTGTATTTTATGTCAAAATACTGCAAATTTGCAGCCTTATAACTCGAAAAATACTTAATGAAAAAATATTTTATTGTAGTGTTTTGGAAAGATCTTGAAGTCAGCTATAAAAGTATGCAAGAAAAAATATAGTGTTCCATTTAAGAAATTGAAGTTGACCGTCACGTAACCTTCAAATGGCTATTCAAGGTCAAATCAATGACACCATCTCATGTCCCCCTTGAAACCATACAACTTTTATCTGAAACATTTTTGTCTTAAACTTTTGAATTTTGAGAAATTTTAGTGCAAAGATTAAAATGGCTTACCCTGTATATAAATATATATATATATATATATATATATATATACAATTCGGTAATATATAAATATATCTTTTCTTGCAGCACGAAGCGAAGGCAGTATTGCTAAAACGACGCCGAGGACGACGCTGACACCGACGCTGACGCCGAGGACGACGTCAACGCCGAGGACGACGTCGACGCCGAGGACGACGTCGACGCCGAGGACGACGTCGACGCCGAGGATGACGCCGACGCCGAGGACGACACCGACACCGACACCGACGTCGAAGACGACGCCGACGCCGACCCCGGCAACAATGATGATGCCGGCAACGACGGCGATGCCGCCGCCGACCCCCGCAACGATGATGACGACGCCGACGTCGACACCGACGGCGATGATGATGCCGACGGAAATGCCGCCGCCGACCCCCGCAACAATGATGACGACGCCGACGTCGACACCGACGGCGATGATGATGCCGCCGCCGACCCTCGCAACGATGATGCCGCCGCCGACCCTCGCAACGATGATGACGACGCCGACGTCGACACCGACGGCGATGATGATGCCGCCGCCGACCCCGGCAACGATGATGACGACGCCGACGGCGAAGATGATGCCGACGGCGATGCCGCCGCCGACCCCCGCAACGATGATGACGACGCCGACGTCGACTCCGACGGCGATGATGCCGACGGCAATGCCGCCGCCGACCCCCGCAACGATGATGACGACGCCGACGTCGACACCGACGGCGATGATGATGCCGCCGCCGCCGACCCCGGCAACGATGATGATGATGCCGACGTCGACACCGACGGCGATGATGATGCCGACGGCGATGCCGCCGCCGACCCTCGCAACGATGATGACGACGCCGACGTCGACACCGACGGCGAAGATGATGCCGACGGCGATGCCGCCGCCGACCCACGCAACGATGATGACGACGCCGACGTCGACACCGACGGCGATGATGATGCCGCCGCCGCTGACCCCGGCAACGATGATGATGATGCCGACGTCGACACCGACGGCGATGATGATGCCGACGGCGATGCCGCCGCCGACCCTCGCAACGATGATGACGACGCCGACGTCGACACCGACGGCGAAGATGATGCCGACGGCGATGCCGCCGCCGACCCCCGCAACGATGATGACGACGCCGACGTCAACTCCGACGGCGATGATGCCGACGGCGATGCCGCCGTCGACCCCGGCAACGATGATGATAATGCCGCCGCCGACCCCGGCAACGATGATGATGATGATGCCGACGTCGACTCCGGCAACGATGATGATGCCGACGTCGACTCCGGCAACGATGATGATGCCGACGGCGATGCCGCCGCCGACCCCGGCAACGATAATGACGACGCCGACGTCGACTCCGACGGCGATGCCGCCGCCGACCCCGGCATCGACGGCGATGCCGACGACGACTCCGGTACCGGGAAAAAATGTGAAAAAGGTTAGTTTTATAATATTTTGTTATATTTGTTAGAGAAAGGGAGGGAGACACACGAAATAGAGGTAAAAAGTATGAGACCTTCGTAAAATTTGTATCTTTGCTTATAAGAAAAAGATTGAAGTTGAAACTGTGCATATTTATTAGTCTTGCTATGTATAAATTTTTCAACTTAAAAATCGACAATTATCTTCTAAAAAAAATTACAATTTTTGAAAATAAAATTTACAAAAATTTTCCATTTTTATAGAAAATAATTGTAATTTCTTTTAGAAGATAATTGTCGATTTTTAAGTTAAAAAATTTATACAATGCAAGACTAATAAATATGCACAGTTTCAACTTCAATCTTTTTCTTATAGGCAAAGATACAAATTTTACGAAGGTCTCATACTTTTTACTTCTATTTCGTGTATCTCCCTCCCTTCTCTCTCTCCCTTCTCTCTCTCTCTCTCTCTCTCTCTCTCTTTCTGTTTTATATACTGTATACAATTTATCTTTTCCAGTAAGAATAATTTTTATACCAATTTACAGCTATATATGAACAGATAATAAAATTTATTTGAACCAATTCATATAAAATATATGTCAGTAAAATCTACTTCAACGAATTACTTCGACGAATGATACGTAATAATGAGACAGTTTTTTTTATGATAAATGTATATACTTATTAGCTATAAAAATCATGTGAGTTATTATATTGTGCAAATATTATAAAATTGTATGCCATTATATATATTATGTTTGATAATATAAATAATAAAAATTTAATGTATTATTTATATGATCAAACATGATATATATAATGGCATACAATTTTATAATATTTGCACAATACAATAATTCACGCATGATTTTTATAGCTAATAAGTATATTCATTTATTATAAAAAAACTGTAAGTCTCATTATTACATATTATACGTCGAAGTAATTCGTTGAAGTAATGATTTTACATATATTTTATATGAATTAATTTAAATGAATTTTATTATTTGTTCATATATAGCTGTAAATTGGTATAAAAATTATTCTCACTGTAAATGGAAAAGATAAAGTGTATACAGTATATAAAACAGAGAGAGAGAGAGAGAGAGAGAGAGAGAGAGAGAGAGAGAGAGAGTATATATAAGTGTATGTAAAATATATACAATTATTTCTTTTTCAGCGCATAAATGAGGCCATACGACGGGCCGTAAATAAAGAGCGGCGAAAATTCAACCGAAGACCCGGACCTGCACAAAAATATATGCCCGAGCCACCCAGAGGTTATTATATTCCTGCACCAGGATATATAACCGGCGCAGGAGGATACGCTCCCGCGCCAGGATATGTGCCCGGTGCCGCAGGATACATGCCGGCACCGGGATATGTGCTTGGCGCAGTAGGGTACGCTCCCGCGTCAGGTTATGTGCCTGGTGCTGCAGGGTACGTACCTGCACCGGGATATATGCCCGGGCCTGCAGGATACGTACCTGCACCGGGATATACGCCCGGGATATACTATAAGTAGGGTAAAGGTACCGATCTCATAATTAAAACGTAATTATCAATTACACATCAAACTAATCATCATTTGAAAAACAATGCCCTGAATATTTACTTTTGTTAGCAGTATAAAGTTATAAATACAGATATAAATATATATGTAGTACACATATACACACTTATATATAAAATATATAATATATATTATTCTCTAAAAGCATGTTAGTTGAATCTCGTCCCTTTCTAAAAAAGGCATATTAGTCGAATATCGATAATATATCCCTTTTTTTAGAAAGGGACGAGATTCAACTAACATGCTTTTAGAGAATAATATATATTATATATTTTATATATGTGTGTATATGTGTACTACATATATCATTATATCTGTATTTATAACTTTATACTGCTAACAAAAGTAAATATTCAGGGCATTGTTTTTTAAATGATGATTAGTTTGATGTGTAATTGATAATTACGTTTTAATTATGAGATGAATCGGTACCTTTACCCTAGTGGAAAAAAAGTCATGCAATGTAATTTAACATAAAGCAAAAACATAAAAAAACACAATTGTGAATTATATAAATTCTATTTTATATAAAATATATAATTATAAAATATTTATAGTTATTATTTTATTTCCTCTGTTCCTTTCCAATTTGTACTGTCGACCGCTTCTATATTCTTTTAGACGTCCTCTCGCGCTTCTCTCTCTCTCTCTCTCTCTCTCTCTCTCTCTCTGTCTCTCTCTTTTTGTTTTATAGATTGCATAGAATTTATCTTCAGGGTGTCGAGCGGTCTTGGAAATCCTTAAAATCCTGGAATTGTCCTTGATTTTTTTTTATGTCCTGAAAATCCTGGAATAATGTGTATTTTTTTCATTATATCCTGAATTTTTCTTACTTATCCTTGAAAATGTTAATGTTTGTATAAAAATATTTTTACAGGAATTTTCAATGCAGATATCTATACTTTTCTCTTAATCTCAATCGCGATTTGTACAGAGGAATTACAAATACAGAAGAAAAAGCTCTTATCAAATGCTAAAGAAGAATCTGATTTAATTGATAAGGAGGTTCAAAAATTAAAAAATTTAATCAAATAATTATTTATGTTACATTTAATAATTCTTATGATCTCGAAAAATTACTGTACCTTTCACAAGCAACAAAAGTACCAAAGTTTAAGTTAATTTAATTATTTAATTAAATCTTAAATAAAAAGAGAATATATATATATATATATAATTTATGTTTTTGTTTCTAATCAACTTTCATATGCTTTTAATTAATAAAAAAATTCCTGGAAAAAAATACTTTTTTGTCCTGGAAATCCTGGAAATGTCTTTGAATTTCTTAACCTTGTTTCGCTAGACACCCTGATCTTACATTTACAGTAAAAGTAATTTTTATAACAATTTACAGGTATATGCAAACAAATAAAATTCGTTAGAATCACAATGTCTATCAAATATATATTTCAGTAAAATCATTACTCGAATTACTTCGATGTATGAAAAATAAGATTTAGTTTTTATAAATTATAAATGCATATACTTATTATCTATAAAAATCATGTGAATATTATTGTATTATACAAATATAATTAAAATAAAATTGTATGTCATTATATATTTCATGTGTTTGATAATATAAATAACACAAAATTTTTTCTGTTTTATATATATAGTTTTTTATAGAAAAAAATTGATGTATTATTTATATTATCAAACATAAAATATATAATGGCATACATTGGCTACACTAATTCAGAGGTTATCTTTTTCTTTCCAATGTCGAACAAAAAAGACAACCTCTGAACTAATGTGGCCAGTGTAGCCAAAACGAACAGACCTTATAAAAAACAGAAAGAGAGAGAGCGAGAGAAAGAGAGAGAGAGAGAGAAACACGTTGCAGCTCCATCTATCACGATATCACGCAACTAATCTACTGCTCTGTTTTATTCCGCAGCCTCGATTTGCACACACACATATGCGTGAAATGTTTTTTTATATATAACTTTTTTATTAGACTTGCAATCTCACTTTTAATTGCTTACTAATATTTCTTCATATAATCCTTACCGCGCATACTATATTTCATGCACAGACAAACTGCAAAACTTTTTTTATTAAATAAGTATTATTACGAACTGACACAAAGCAGCCGATAACAAAACTGTAATTTTGATTTTTATATGATTTATATATGCAAACATAGCTAGCGCGGTCCGTTTTTATAAGTACTTTAATCGTGGAAAAGGATTTATTGATCAGTATAGTCAATAAAAAGTTATATGAAAAAAATAAATATTCTCGCATTCGGTCGGTAAAAACATCATTTAGGATCCCCTTAATACATTTAAGGTATGCTTTGGCAGGTGTCACAGATAAAACACTTTATATTTATATTATAATATTTGTTATTAATAACTATGCCTCTATTTTGTGCAGTATATTGATCTCAGCAATGAAATCCTTCAAAAACAAATTGACTGATTTTGGTTTGCTACGTTTAATAAACCTCACAATTTTGAATCGATGAACTATTTGTTCATCATCATCGCTGTCAAACATCTGTAAATATATTATATGTATGTATCTTTATGTATAGATGCTGAAGTTAAGTATCATATACTTCAGGACTATTATTTTATTTAATTTTGAGATTAAATAAATAATGGTAATCCCTATTTATATGCAAAGAAATTAATTATGTATATAATTATGTACACACACACACGCGCGCGCCCGCACGCACGCACGTATATAAACGCGCCCACACACAACACACACACACATTATATTTTTACATAAATAATTAGCATTGTTCGCTTAACTTTACAATTGAATAAAGGAATAGTCCTGAATATGTAATATGTAATATATATATTGCGCGTTTGCGCGTGCGTGTATGCGCGCGTGCGCGCTATTTCATAATTAACCTAATTAATACTTACAATTGCAATTTTATTCCGAATGTGGTAATATACACACAAAAAATGCAAGCTTGCAAAGGAAAGGAACCACCAAAGAACAAAAGATATGCGTACACTATTCGCTGGCCGGAACCACCAAAGAACTAAAGATATGCGTACATTATTCGCTGGCCGGTACACGTGGTCGGTCAGTGAAATATCCGAATGATCAGTGAAAACATAAAAATAATGTCAAAATTGTTTAAACATGTTTACGGACACAACAACAAACTTTAGGATGACTAATAATTTCCATCTATGATTATCGTTCACACTGTAATAACTTTTTAGATATTTAACACGTACTCCACGTGCAGTAATATAAACACGCGGACCACCAAAGAACATATATGAAGAGAAGCGCAAGCTCCGTGTTAAACGATGGAAACATGCGAACGACGCGATCCTAGTGGCTGGCACTGGTACTACAGATTTTCTATTATGGCTCCGTTCCGTAAACTACATATGCGCGCGTAATCTATAATACATGTTAGGGCCTATTCAAACAAAACTTGCATAATCGCATAAAACGATAGGCCCTTACGTGTATCATACATGAATTATATGATACGTAACATGTATTATAGATGAATGCGCGCATATGTAGTTTACGAATACAGCTTTACACATGCATATACGAGGGTCACTATTATATTTCGGGAATAGGAACAAAAACAAATAGTAAGCTGCGAATATATTTTTATTGTTTTTCAAAGTACTCGCTACGATGATCGATCACTTTTGCATGCGCTTAAACCAATTTTCAAAGCATTTATTCCATTCCAAATGAGGTATCTCCAAAACATAATTTTTGAACGCTTCAATAGCTTCTTCGGGCGATGAAAATCGTTGACCACGCAGTTTATTCTTCACGGATGGGAACAAAAAAAAATCATTGGGTGCCAAATCAGGG